CTCTCTTTACTTTTTCTCTTTCTCTTTCCTTCTTTTTATCTTTCTCTTTCTTTCCTTCTTTCTCTCTCTTTCCTTTTTTCTCTCTCTCTTTCCGTCTTTCACTCTCTCTCCTTTCTCTCTCTTCCTTACTTTTTCTCTCTTTCTCTCTTTCCTTCTTTCTCTCTCTCTTTTCTTACTTTTTCTTTCTTTCCTTTTTCTTTCTCTCTTTTTTTCCTTTTTCTCTCTCTTTCTCTCTCCTTTTTCTCTTTCTCTCTTCTTTCTCTTTCTCTTTCTTTACTTCTTTCTCTCTCTTTCTTTTTCTCTTTCTCTCTTTTTTCTTCTTTCTCTCTCTCTCCTTCTTTTTCTCTTTCTCTCTCTTTTTCTTCTTTCTCTCTCTCTCCTTCTTTTTCTCTCTTTCTCTCTCTCTTTCTTACATTTTCTCTTTCTTTCTCTCTCTCAGCCCAAGCTAACTTGTGTGTGTGTGTGTGTGTGTGTGTGTGTGTGTGTGTGTGTCAGGGGGGCAAATGGAAGGAGGAAGTGCTACAACTGCCATCCTTAACTACTGTTCAAAAAGCAGTACAGGTGATCCTCGACTTACAACCACAACTGAGCCCCCAAATGCCTGTTGTTGAGCGAGGCATTCGTTAAAACGAGCGTCGCCCCGTTTTTACAACTTTGTCTGCTGTCGTTGTTCAAGGGAATCGCTGCCGTTCTTAAGTTAGTAAACCAAAGCTGTTCAGTGACTCTCGTTTCTCCCCACCGACTTTGCTCATCTGAAGGTGGCAAATGCTGATGATCCCATGACCCCTGGGACACTGCAAACCGTCATCAAGACGAGTCGGTTGCCGGGCATCGGAATTTGGATCCCGTGACTCTGGGGAAATGCCGCAGGGGGTGGGTGGGTCGTGAAAAAAAGGCCGTAAGTCACTTTTTCCAGTGGCTTTGAACGGTCACTGAACGAACTGTCGTAAATCGAGGACTACCTCTGTTCCTGGGGGTGGGTGGATGGGTTGCAACTGTTCTGCAAACCTTTGGTACCAACCACAGATCCCGGTGACCCAAGGATCCAATCCAGAGGCTACTTCTCCTCACCCAAGAAAAGTTTAACAGCCCCACCTACCCACCCCAAAATATATCCCAGACCAATCTTGGATACAAACTCCTGCATTGCCCACCAATTCGGCCCTTCCGACGTGCAAACGGAGCAGGGGGAGAGGGGCCGTCGTCGACCCGACCCGGGTTGGGTTGGGTTCAGCCGTCGTGGGAACCCGCCCCAAACTAGGAAGGCGGCAGCTTGGAAAGAGCCGCCAAACTCCCACCTGCTGACCCCAGCTCTGGGATACAGCCTCGCCCATCATCCCCGGCCGGCTAAGTCGGCTGGGGGATGACAGTTGCTGGAGTCCTTGCCCCTTCTTGCCTTTCTAACGCTTATCCTCCCGCTTCAAAAGACTCGCCCGCCGGCCGGCCGGGAAAGAGGCGGCTCTCGCCCAGCGCCCTCCGAGGGTGGGAAGCGGCGCTATCCGGACCCCGAAACTGCAGAAGCTCCCGGGGGGAGGAGAGGAAGGAGGGGCTAGAGCGTCTCCCCCACTCTCCTAGGAAGGAAACGAAGCCGGAAAAGGCGGGCAGAAGCCTCCGTGGGGCCCCTCTAGGAAGCTCCTCTCGTTCTCCCACTCCACCCTTGTATGGGAGGTGAATTTCGGGGGGGGGACTTTTTGTTGCCCCCTTTTCCCAATTGCAGCATTTTGGGGCGGCTGTGCGGATTCTCGCTGTCGGGCAAGGCTGCTCCGGGCAGGCGGGGCTCCTGCTCTCCCTCGGGCCGCCAGGAGGAAGGTAGACCCGAGTCCCCCCTGGGTGCCAGGAGGGTCCCGGGTGGATGCGGGGCTGGACGGGGAGCCTCGCCCCACGGAGGGAAAAGGGGGCTTTTCTTTGAAGGGTTTAACGTGGGGGGGAGATTATTGTGTGGATGAAGGAAATACCCGCCTTCTCTCTTCAGTTTGGGGTGGAAGGTTT